TGATTAAATGATTGCAAACTGAATATTTCTCCACTTAAAGAGTTTATATTTATCAGTGTTGTTATAGGAACACTGGAGCTGGAGCTGTCTAACAGTGAATATGAAAGTTCTGCGTTTTCACCAGTGTCTGAATCATCAGCGGACACTTTTGTCACGAGACCTCCAGCTTGACCATTCTCCCTGAGAAAAGCGTTAATAACGGGTGCTGGAAAATCTGGTGCATTGTCATTAACATCAGAGATATGTAGAGTTATAACAGTGCTGCTGGAAAGAGACGGAGTTCCTTCATCTGCAGCTGTAATTGTGATGTTATACAGAGAAGCACTCTCTCTGTCCAGAGGTCCATCTACCACTAGAGAATAATGATTGTTATATGATGTCTCCAGTTTGAAAGGAAACAAGCCTTTCAGAGCACAGTGTACAACAATGCCATTTTTACCTCCATCTTTATCAGACACTGTGACTAAAGCAACTGCGGTTCCTGACGTTGTGTCTTCTTTCACACTTTCCAGCAGTGGAGTAACATTTATCTCTGGTGCATTATCATTTTCATCAATAATTTCTATTAAAACTTTACAATGGGTGCTCTTTGGTGGGCTGCCTTTATCTTTCGCTTGAACTCGTAACTCAATGGCAGGATTCTCTTCGTAATCTATTTGCCCTTTTACAACAATATCTCCAGTCTCGGGGATAATGGAAAAAAGGTATTTTCTCTTGCCATGACCAACAAATGAATACAGGATTTCACTGTTTATGCTTCATCTGCAGCTGTAATTGTGATGTTATACAGAGAAGCACTCTCTCTGTCCAGATGTCCATCTACGACTAGAGAATAATGATTGTTATATGATGTCTCCAGTTTGAAAGGAAACAAGCCTTTGAGAGCACAGTGTACAATCCCGTTTTTACCTCCATCTTTATCGGAGACTGTAACTAAAGCAACTGCAGTTCCCGGTTTTGCATCTTCTTTCACACTTTCCAGCAGAGGAGTCGTAACTATCTCTGGCACGTTGCAACTTTTGTTCCACCAGCAACATTTTCCTTTAGTTTGACTTTGTAAAGAGGCTGACTAAACACTGGATTATTATCATTATTATCCATTATGGTTATAATAATATTTACCGTCCCCGATTTAGGTGGCTTTCCTCCATCTACTCCAGTGAGAACTAACTTAATTGTTGCTTGTTTCTCTCGATCTAAAGCTTTGTTCAGCACTAACTCGGCAGACACACTCTGGTCTTCACTCTGTGTATCTAGACTGAAATGAGTTAGAATTTACTGTAACCCGTTTCAGTTCATCGGTATTTCCACGTCCAACAAATGAATATTCAATTTCACTGTTGATGCCCTCATCCAAATCACTGGCAGAAACAATAAAAATTTTGTCTCCAATCATTGTGTTTTCTTTCACTTTAACTTTGTACAAAGGTTTGCTGAAAATAGGTTTATTATCGTTTACATCCATGACGTCAACAACAATACTCAATGTTCCAGATTTAGGAGGTTTTCCTCCGTCAACAGCGGTGAGTATTAAGTGAATAGCAGCTTGTTTTTCTCTGTCTAAAGCTTTCTGTAGTACTAAATCAGCAGATATACTCTGTTGACCGCTATGAATATCTAAAGAAAAATATTCATTTGAACTGAGTTTGTATTCTTTCAGAGAATTACTGCCAACATCTGAATCTTTTGCAATTGGTAGAGGAAATATTTCCCCCAAATTTGCATCCTCTGTAACATTGAGAAAATAATTGCTGTCCAGAAAAAATGGAGCATTGTCATTGATATCCAAAATTATAATTTCAAGCCGATAACTGATATTCACAGTAAATACTTTAACAGGAAAATGTGGCGCATTGTCGTTTATATCCAAGATCTTAATATCCACTCTGTAAAGACGATGAGGATTTTTATACTAAATCAGCAGATATACTCTGTTGACCGCTATGAATATCTAAAGAAAAATATTCATTTGAACTGAGTTTGTATTCTTTCAGAGAATTACTGCCAACATCTGAATCTTTTGCAATTGGTAGAGGAAATATTTCCCCCAAATTTGCATCCTCTGTAACATTGAGAAAATAATTGCTGTCCAGAAAAAATGGAGCATTGTCATTGATATCCAAAATTATAATTTCAAGCCGATAAAGTCTGTGAGGATTTTGAGCAAGAGCCTCTAAAGCCAACAATTGTCCCCTTATTTACCTCTTCCGGTACGGAATAGACGATCTGAGCAAACGCAGAATCCAGCAAAAAAAGGAAAAATATCAATCCACACTCGAAATATCCCAAAAAGCCCATGATGGTCATTTGCAACTGGCTTGTGAACAGAAAAAAATATAAACGCGAGGGAATCTAATAGTTTTCTTTGCATTCAGAAAACACGAGACGAAATAGAGATCATCATGTCTCAACTGCAGATGCACTAATACCAAGATTCTGAGAGAGAGAGAGAGAGAGAGAGAGAGAGAGAGAGAGAGACGCCAGAGTAAAGACTAACATGCGTGTTTCTAGTTCCTGAGCACTGATCTTCAGGTCTTTTGCTATATTCCCAATCACGGTTCCTTTATTTACCTCCTCGGAGACGGAATAGACAATCTGGCCAAGCGAAGAGTCCCATAAAGACAGAAATACAACGATCCAGAAGCTGTAATATTTTGTAACATCCATTCTTGTGCAGCAAAATGTCCTGCGATTATTTACTGTAAAAACGATTGAAACAAAGATTCTGAGAGAGAGAGAGAGAGAGAGAGAGAGAGAGAGAGAGAGACGCCAGAGTAAAGACTAAACTTTTATCTTACGGTCTGTAGTGACACCACGTGCTGAAACTATGCCATAACCTACTAGAAAAATTATATTTACAAAAACGTTAAAGTGAGAAACAACAGTGACACAACAACAACAATAGTAATATTCAAAGTAATCCAATGCAGAAAAGCAAAGCAAAAAATACACCACCGAATATAATTATTTAGGCTACTAGCAGCATCAACACATGAATAATCTAATAAAACGGGAAACAAACAGACTGTCATCCAAAAGAAAGAAAGTGAAGCATATTACGATAGAATGCAAATTCTGTAAAAAGCAGTGGTCGATTAACAGGTCATAAAAGAACTTTGTTACAACAAAATAATGACCTACTGAGAGAGCTGCACTGTGATACGGTGAATAGGCCAGAGGTTTTAATATCATAGAGGAAAAACACGTCTGGAAAGTTGAATGGATGAAGCATTCAAGGCTGTAATTGCAAGTTTTATTATTATTAGTAGTAGTAGTAGTAGTAGTAGTAGTAATAGAGATTAATCTTCGTTTTCGCCGCTGCATCTTATATTTTAATTTTAATGACCTATTATTGCCTATCATGTGCGTCTTCTTGACAGCCTATAGATGTTCTGTTTCGTAATTGTTTTGTTTTTTTGTTTTTTTAATTAGGCTACATTAGTTTTAAACACAGTGTTTAATCTAATGCATTAAAATGTGAAACACGTTTTAAAACATCCTCCAGACAGACCTGATTAATTTAACACAGTCTCATGAAAATTCGCATCTATTACAGGTTTTTGGCAAATTAGCGACATTTCTACAGCATGCTTACGCCACACTGAGGGATGTAGTTAGGCTTGCAGCTTACTTTTTATTAAAAATTGCACGTTTTCCTTAGAATCACATTTAGCAAATTCGTAAGAAACTACAACTTGCTTGCAACATCCTTTAAGTGCCTAAGATTTCTCGTGATAACTGGTTGAATTGATCAAAGTACGTTATTCAAAGACCATAAAATAGCCTAAATTAAAATTTAAATGAATCAAAACAAATTTAAAATAGGTTAATTGAAAACAAGACAGCCACGTGGTAAATACCAAACCCACTATTATGGCAACTGTTAGAATGAATTTCGAACAGTTGAGAACAATAATTCACCTCGAAAAATTAATTATTCAAAAAAAATTCCCAACGATCTTACCTTCCCAGTAGGAAGAGTTTGTGTGTGCGTAAAAGTATCTTCTCCATTAATGCTGATCAGTTCCGCGTCTGCTGGCGGAAATGGCGAGGGGAAAACGACTACATCACTCTTTATTGTGTCGGAACTAAAACACACGTCGTACTGTTGTGTGGATTTAGAGAAGGACCAGCTTCCGTCT